TGCGAGCAGGATAGCTGATTTTCAAGCATTTGCATTTCCCAGCTTGGTAGTAATGTAGAAGCACTATACCTTTTTCACTTTTGCTTACAAGAATATATCATTTTTGCACTAAAGATAGTGTGCTCACTTCCCAGAGTAATGTGAAAGGGTATATTTTCTTCTCATCCTTCACTACATAAAAAATAATTGGATTTATTTTAGCTCCATGTCACAAAACAACGTTTACTGCTTTATTAACCAGACACAATGAAACATGGCTTATTTTCTACCCCACTAGAGCTGGAGCCAAACCAGAGCCCTGAACACAGAGCCCTGAAAAGAGGAGATGCTTGGATCAAGGTCCAAGGTGGTTCCAAAGCAGCCAGCTTTCGTTAAACCAAAGCATTGGGTCTCAACAGTCACTCCCCACTTTGGCAAAGTCCAGCCAGATGCTGTATTTTCCTGTGTATAATCCACTTTTTAGATGTGAAAAGTTTCCATTTCCACATGGGAAAAGTGGAGGAGGAGGGGGAGGCATTCTGCTCCCCTTGGGGCGAAGGGGCTCCGCTTAATTAAACTCCTCTTATACTGTCTCCACACAAGTACAGCCTGCTGATTTGGGGCAGAAAACTTGTGGATAATACACACGAATGCCTGTGGCATTTCTGCTTGGGTCTGCCTCTGGCCAGCATGCTCAGCAGCCGTGAGACAGTGAGTCTCCATCAGACACCTGGTTCCCCGAGTCCAAATCTTCTGTGGGAGTTAGTATCTCCCAATGCACCAGTTCCAAATAGATTTGTGAGTGAATGAGAGCAAGCGACAGAAGAGTGTACTTGTCCTGTGACTTGATTAAAAGGAAAAAAGAAGTCCATTAATCCATTACAGCAGTGTTTACTTGTAAAACAGTCCTGGGTATCCACAGGAATGTCAGTAGCTTCAGCTGGCGGAATGAGAGTACCGACGGCCTCACGCCTTTCCTTAGCCTCTGTTTTACCTGCTTCTCCCCCCTCTGAACCTGAAAGGCATCTAAGCAACACTTTTAAAAACTAGGTTAAAAGGAAAGTAATGGGACACATGGCACGTCGAAGCAGCCCAGAGCTCTGCTGTCATCTCCATGAGGCCGGCCACGGTGTGGAACCTGGACCGTGCAACCATTCCCAACGAGTGCCGATGTGCAGAAAAACAGGGGCTGCCAAGGCACTCTGTTCTTGTTTCCACATCCAGAGCCCCAACCAGATGGCCGCGGGCCAAGCTGAGTGCTCCACAGTCTTTTAAAGTCTATAAAACTGCGTTTCCCTCCCATTAAGTGGGAAAGCACTTTCATGTTGCATTGCTGTAAAAGTATCGGAAAAGCTAATGTTTTCTCTGCCCTCTTTGCTTAATATTCTGCATAAAAAAAAATCCACCTGGCCTCACTGAGACAGTATTTGAAAGGGATAGGTTAAAAAAGTGTCCAAAAGGCCCCAAACTCTGTGGTTTAGCCAAGCAGGCTGGATGTCATGTTTATTCCAGTGTCTCAAACACTGACCCTGCAACCCAAGGGAAAAAGATGCCGCCCTTTTCTTTCCTCTGCTGGTACCTGCAAATTGATGCTCAACCAAAAGTATGAGGCCATGGGGACGGAAAGAGGACAGCGGTGCCTTCTCTTGGCAAGCCGTCTCCCTCCGTGAGCTCTGGGCCAAGGTCATCTTCATTCAACAGCTGGACGTTTGATTGACTTCCATAAAGTCCCATGTGACTTGCAAGGGTTTCGTGGCAGATCCTCATGGCCAAACTGCTGGCTCAGCAGAGCCGCCCCAGTTTCCAAGCGCCTTCCTGCTGCTCTTTTTCATCCTGCTGCTCTCTGGGGAAGGGGAAGCCTGGGCTTGCGGCCACCGCGCTGAGCTGGGAGGCGAGCATCTGCCACAGGGTCACTGCTTGACCACGGGCAAGTCACCTCATTCCTCTGTCATTCAGTTTTCCACCTATAAAAGGGGGATAATAATAGTCCTGGGCTTTACAGGGGTGAACTGAGGATAACTTGCCTGCTCTTTAAGCGAAGTGTTTAGAGGGTAACTTCAAAGTAAAGCTAATAAACACAAAAACACAAGTCACCCTAGCAAAGCTCTGCCTGTGCATTTATAGTGGCCTGCAGACCTTCAGGAAAAACAGGTTCTGTGCTGCTACCTGCAGCAGTCAGCGAGGGAGAAAAGGTGAAATAGCTCTTCTGATTTGGGGGGGTGGGGAAAGAGCCACTTCTGGAGCTACACCTTGAGGTGACAATTGCCTGACCTTGTTTCTAGGTAGTTCCCACCAAAAATTACAACGTATGGATGAACACAACAGCAGAGTTCCCCTCAAAAGGAACCTGCTGATGCTGGTCTTTCCTCCCTGAAT